TCTGGTTGTGAAAACAGCAATTGTCCTACTCCAAAAAATATAATATTGATTTGTTTGTCCATAATTGCTTAGTACTTATCTTGCAGTTAAATAAAATAGCTCTAAGACAGAATTTGATTAAGGAAACAAGTCTTACTGTAGCAAATCAGCGACAACCAAATGTGTTGAAAAATTATTATTCTGTTATTTCTTGTTTTGAAAAGACTGTAGCAATGTAATAATGATCCCTTTAAAAGCACAATAGCTTGAACAGAAGTATTGTAGAAAGAAAGCCGAGATAAGAAATTAATATGAATCAATTCACCACTGAGGGCACGTTTTAAAATTAAGTATTTATTGGCTAACATTTCTAGATGTGAAACTTAACTCTGCAAGGCTTACCTGGTGCTGATTTTAATATTAACAATTTTATTTGCTACTGAGAATCCTGCATCATTAAATGTTTCCCATTTCAGCATGGAGTTATGCCAGTCTGCAGCACTATCCTTTATTTTTCTGGCACTGTTGTTGAAGTCTTTTCTTCTTGGAGTTACAAAGCCTGATCTAGAACATGGAGCTAATTAAAAAAATTTTTTTATTAAGTTTCAGCAATTTAAAAAACAAACCTAATGCTTAACTACAGGTATCAACTTGCATTTATAAGAGGGTCTTTTAATGTCCCAAGGCACTTCAAGAGTATTAGAGATGTTTTGCGCACACTAGACGCAGGACTAGACTAAGCGTATGATTGTTTCAGAGATAGAAGGAACTGCAGAGGGTTTCTGAAGAAGGGTCTAGGCCCGAAACGTCAGCTTTCCTGCTCCTCTGATGCTGCTTGGCCTGCTGTGTTCATCCAGCTCTACACCTTGTTATCCAAGCATATGATTGCGTTCTGTTTACATAACTGGGACAGGTAGCCGGCTTGTTACCAGAGGCTTTCGCTTGAGGGATAGCACTCCACAAGCAGCATAGCTGCCCAGGAGACCACTACATTCACATGAAACATTTTGAGTGGGACTTGAACCCAGGCCTCAGAGGTACAGACACTACCACAGCAGCACAAAAGCCCCTCTAGGACTTTTTTTTAAAAAAAAAAAAAAAGATATTTCTAATCAGCCTGTTCAGAAGTATTACGATACACCCATGGAGCAGGTGATACTTGAACCCAGACCACCCGCTTCAGAGGTAGGGATATTACCACCAGACCACAAGAGTCCCTCTGGATCTTTTGTTTTAAGTAGTGAAACAAAGCACAGGCATGTGGGACTAGTTTAGTTAGCGATTATGTTGGTGGGATCTGGATTGGACTGAAGGGTCTGTTTCCATGCTGCACAACTATGACCTGGACCATATCAATGGACACCACATGCTGGTCTGTTATTAGGTGTTTTCTAATCAACCTCTTTAGGAGGTGTATGAAGGTGAAGGGTGGGACCAACAAGTGAACAGAACCCTTGATGTCAATGAAAAAAAAAGGAAGCCTTAAGGTAAAGGATACTGAAGTCTCAAAACAGCGGGTGCACTTGAGTCTAGAAAGTGCAAGGGGGTCACTTAAATAGGAAATTAGGACAGCAAAAACCAGTGGTGGGTAAAATTAAGAAAAATCCAAACATGTATAGTGAGGCACAAGAATAAACAGGCAAAGAGTAGTACCATGTGTGTGGAGCCCAAAGACACACAGACACAGCTGAATACTAAATGTGTACTTTGCATTTGCATTCACAATAAAGAAGGACGATGAAGGTCTGGAAATTGAGGTGGGCGTGGAACTGTGATATACTTACAGTCAGGGTTATATGGCACAGTAACGGACCCTTTGGTCATCCATGCTGACCAGATATCCTTTATAAATCTAGTCCCATTTGCCAGCATTTGGGCCATATCCCTCTAAACCTGCTTATTTATATATCTATCCAGATGCCTTTTAAATGTTATTATACCAGCCTCCACCACTTCCTCTGGCAGCTCATTCCATACACGCACCACCCTCTGTGAAAGAGTTGTTCTTTTTAAATCTTCCCTCTCTCACCTTAAACCTATGCCCTTCAGTTTTGGCCTCCACCACCCCAACCCCCAACCCCCACCATGGGGAAAAGACCTTGCCCATTTACCCTATCCATGCCCCTCATGATTTTATAAACCTCTAAAGGTCACCCCTCAGCCTCTGACACTCCAGGGAAATAGCTCCAGTCTATCCAGCCTCTCCCTATAGCTCAAACCCACCAACATCTTCGTAAATCTTTTCAGAACCCTTTCTAGTTTCACAACATCCTTCCTATGGCAGGGAGACCAGAAATGCACATGATACTCCAAAAGTAGCCGAACCAAAGCCCTGTACAGCTGCAACATGATCTCCCAACTCCTGTACTCAATGCACTGACCAATAAAGGCAAGCATACCAAATACCTTCTTCACTATCCTATCTACCTGCAACTTCACTTTCAAGGAACTATGAACCTGCACTCCAAGGTGTCTTTGTTCTGCAACACACCCCAGGACCATACTATTGTGTATATCCTGCCCTGATTTGCCTTTCCAAAATGCAGCAACTCACATTTATCTAAATTAAACTCCATCTGATCAAGATCCCATTGTAATCTGAGGTAACCACCTTCTCTGTCCACTACACCTCCAATTTTGGTGTCATCTGCAAACTTACTAACCATCCAATTTACATTCACATCCAAATTATTTATATAAAATGACGACAAAAAAAAAAAAAAACAGTGGACTCAGCACCAATCTTTGTGGTACACCAGTGGTCACAGGCCTTCAGTCTGAAAACCAATCCTCCACCGCCATCATGTCTTTTACCTTTGAGCCAATCCGAATCCAAATAGCTACTTTTCCCTATATTCCGTGTGATCTAAACTTGCTAACCAGTCTACCATGAGGAACCTTGTTGAACGTCTTACTAAAGTCCACACAGATCACATCCACCACTCTGCCCTCATAAGTCCTCTTCGTTACTTGTTCAAAAAAAAAAAAAAATCCAATCAAGTTAGTGAGACATGATTTCCCACACACAAAGCACTTGACCAAATTAGCATTGAGGGTGAAGATATTAGTGGCTTTAGCAGCTTTAAGTGTAGAAAATTTCCTAGGCCCAGACGAGATGTATCCAAGACTGCTTAGGGAGGCCTGGGAGCAGGGGCTCTGAAAACTTTCACGTTCTTTCTGACCACAGAAAAGGTGCCAGAGGACTGGAGGACAGCTAATGTTAACACCATTATTCATGAAGGGTGTAGGGATAAACCAGGAAACTACAGGCCTGAGAGGCTGACACCTATGGTAGGGAAGTGATAGGAAAAAAAAAAGACATAAAATTAAACTCCCTTTGAATTAATCAAGGATAGTAGGCATAGCTTTGTAAGTGGGGAGATCACATCTAACAAACTTGATTAAATTTTTCACAGAGGTGACTTGAACGTGGATGGGGGTAATATAGTTGATGTAGCCAAAATAGACTGCACTAGAGCTTAAGACAAGTTCTAGCATGGGATACTCATTAAGAAGCTAAGATTCCATGGGATCCAGGGCAATTTGGCAAATTGGATCCAAAAGCACAGTGGTGATGAAAGGCTACACTGTGCTATGACTGGAAGCCTGTGTCCAGTGGCATACCACAGTACAATAACAAGGAGGAAAGCCTTAGACTACAGGACAATATAGATGGGCTGAACAGTAGCAATTGGAGTTTCAACCTAACAAATAAATGAGGTGATGCATTTTGGGTGAACTAACTAGCAAGGGAATACATGTTGAATAATAAGAACGCTAGGAAGTCCAGAGGAATCTTGGTGAGCGTGTGCATAGATCCTTGAAAGCAGCAAGGCAGGCGGCATATGGGATACCTTTTTAGTCAAGTTATAGCAGTAAGGAGGTTATGCTGGACTTGAATATAATGTTAATTAGGTTACAGCTGGAGTACTGTGTGCAGTGCTAGTTTCCACACTATAGGAAGGATTTGATTGTACATTTGATTTGTACATTAACACGCAAGACCACAGGCCAAGGGGTGAAAAATGCGACTAGAATACATAGGTGCGTGATGGGCCGAAGGGCCTCTTTCCGTCGTGTAAAGACTGACTCCAAAACATATTATTGTGCATCTTCTTCAGCACGTTTTAGTCAGTAAAAGGTGGATTTTTTTGGGGGTCAAGTCCAGAATTTACTCTTCCGATTTACCTTCAGCTTAAGAACTATAATTCCTTGTGCACAGTACAGTACAATACAATTTTGTTTGTTAAAATTCCTATGATGCACGGTGGGGCCTCTTACTCCATTACAGCCACCTCTACAAATATGTAACCGGAGGGCGTCTCTTAAATTCTTAGCCTACTAATATTCCTTTTTATTTCCAATGAAGCCTCATCATTTTACACGTTTTCACGTGTTTTCTATCCTTGAATAGAGACAGCTGCCGCTTTTCCCTAAAGGCTAAACTTTTGAGATTGCGATTAATGCAACACATTTTAAATCTTTCCAAATCAGCCTTAAAAAGTAATTCGAAAAAAAGCTTAAATTCCAATGCGAAATAATTAAGTCATACCTTCCATGTCTACCACGTTTGCGCTAAAGTCACTTCATAACTTGTCCGAAGCACAATGTCAGGATCCCACAGGCAACCTACAAGTGAAACGTTTCATCGATGGACCGTCAGGGGGACAGTAACAAACTATAGCCCAACGTATCAAAAGGGCCAGGATATCTTTACCCGCATTGGTGAAGAAGACTGCATTCTGATTGGCGAAGACCCTGATTGGGCAGACAGTGTTGTCTGATTGGTGAAGCGGGCAGGGTTTTTGTTGAGGATGTTGGGGGGGGGGGCTAGCGCCATTATGATTGGTGGAGCGGGGTATCCGTTCTAATTGGTAGTGTAGACACCCTTGATTGATGAAATGCTATCCTTACTCTGATTGGTGAAGCCGTCCCACGGCACCGAGGCGTAGTATGGACTGTTCGTTCTGATTGGTGGAGTGACCTGTCCGCTCTGATTGGTTGAGCTGACGCTCGGGTCTGAAGTTGGAGGGAGAGGGGGGGGAAATAGGCGTCGGGAGCAACATGGCGGCCGGCGTAGAGTGAAATTGTATGAGGTTCAGGGGATCTAACTCGGAGCGTGGTAAGTGATGGTGGGAATGGCTCTGACATAGACGTGGGGAGCGTGGCATTCCCTTTGGCCTTAAGTGATCCCTGGGGGTGGCGGGTGGACCATTGTCGCAGGCCCGGCTGAGGACAGTAGATTCTCTGGCTCTGGTAGTAGTGATCTCCTGATGTGTTGACAAGGATCTTGAGATCGAATAGGTTTACAATATTAAAAATGATTGTTCAATCATTGTATTCTAGACAGTGGCTGAATGTTTCGTGTGAAAGATTTAAAATCATTTCTATCCCCTCTCCAATATTTAAACTATATTGAATGATACCTGTTAAACTTAGACATTTTTCCAGCACATATAACTATGCAATATTCTGGAAGCAACTGATAACCATGCAATTTTTTGGCAGGTAATAACATTTTTAACCTCATGGCCTGGCATATCCCAGGCTTCCAATATCATCAAGAAAGGGGATCAATCCTTGCTCAATGAACAGTACAGGAGGATTCCTAAAAATTAATTGTCATCTTTGTGTGTCAAACAACGTAAGCAGCAAATGATAGACAGAGCTAGGTGATTCCACAGGTCAGATCTAAGCTCTGCAGTGCTGCCACATCCAGTTGTGAATGATAGTGTACAATTAAACAACTCGCTGGAAGAGGAGACTCCACAAATATTCCCATCTTCAATGATGGGGGAGCCCAACACATTAGTGCAAAAGATAAGACTGATGTATTTGCAACAGTCTTCAGCCAGAATTGCTGTGATTTATCCATTCCATCCTTTCACAGAAGTCCCCAGCATTGCAAATGCCAGACTTCATCCAGTTCAGTTCACTCCACATCATATCAAGAAATAGCTGAAGGCACCGGGTTCTGTAAAGGCTGTAGGCTCTGACACCATTCCAACAATAGTTCCGGCAATTGCTGAAGATTTCGGTATGGCTACAGCACTGGCATCTACCCAACAAAATTGCCCGGATATGTTCTGTACACAAAAACAGGACAAATCCAACATGGCGAATTACTTCTCCATCAGTCTACTGTTAATCGTTAGTAAAGTCATAGAAGGTATCATCGATAGTTCTTGCAAGCAGCACTTGCTCAGCAATAACCTGCTCAATGATGCCTTGTTTGGGTTCCGCCAAGGCCACACAGCTCCTGATTTCATTATAGCCTTGGTTCAAACTTGAACTAAATAACTAAATTCCAGGCATTAGGCGAGAGTGACTGCCCTTGACATCAAGGCTATGGCACTTCTGCCCGAGTGTGGCATTGAGGAGCTGTGCAGAACTGGAATCAGTTTGATTCAGGAGTCAGAGTCAAACCTGAGCAAAGGAGGATGGCTGTGGTTGTCAGAGGTTAATCATCTCAGTTCCAGATATCTCTGCAAGATTTCCTCAAGATAATGCCCTTGGCCCAACCATCTTCACTTACCTTATTAATGACCTTCCCTCCATCATAACGTTAGAAAGAGAGACGTTTGCCAACACTTGCCTGATGTTCAACACCATTCGCAACTTCTCAGACACTGAAGCCATCCATGTCCAAATGCAGCAAGACTTGGCCAATATCCAGACGTGAACTGACAAGTGGCAAGACACAATATGATAAAATTGTGTATTATGTTTGAAAGTAAGGTACTTCAATCTGAAGCAAGGATGTAACATTTGAATAAGGAAGTTATGAAGGCATGAAGTACAAATTGGCTGAGGTGGATTGGGAAAATGCATTAACAGGCATGACTATACATATGCAGTAGATAGTCTTAAAAGAAATATTACATGCTTTACATTAACTATACATTCCTTCAAAGTGTAAAAACTCAAATGTGGCTAACAAAGGAAATTAAGGACTGTGTAAGATTAAAAGATTTATAAAGTTGCCACAAATAGTAGTAAATGTAAGGGTGGGAGGTTTTTAAGAGTATAGCAAAGGAGGACTCGTAAGGAAAAGGAGAATAGAATATGAATGCAATCTAGCAAAAAACCATAAGTGGACTGTAAAAGCTTCAGGTATGTAGAAAGGAAAGGTTTGGCTGAGGCGAATGTTAGTCTGTCAGGCAAATTTATAGTGGGGAATGGAGAAATGGCTGAGAAGACAAATAATTACTTTATGTCTGCTTTCATCAAGAAAGGTGCAAAAAACTCCTAGCATTAGAAATGCAACTGACTAGGGAGAATGAGGAGTTGAAGAAAATTGGTATTTGTAATAAGGTTGTACTGGAAAAATGAATAAGACTGAAAGTTGTTAAGTTCTCTTGACCTGATATTCTGTATCCCACAGGGCTGAAGGCAATGATTGGGGATATAGAGAATATATTAGTGATCATCTTCCAGCATTTGATAGATTCTGAAATGTTTCTGGCAGAACGTCACCCATTTTTTAAGAAGGCAGCGAGAGAGAAAACAGGGAATTACAGACCTGCCATTCTTGCATCAATAATAGGGAAAATACTATATAATAAAGAATGGGATAAATAGACACTCGGATAAAAATTATCTGATTGGGCATAGTCAGCGTGGACTTTTGAATGGGAAATCATATTTGACAAACTGAGTTTTTTTTGAGGATGTTACGAACAAAATTGATAAAGGAGAGTTGAGGAATTTTGTACGCTTGGATTTTCAGAAGGCTTCCTATGAAGTCCCCCACAGAAGACTGGTAAGCAAATTAAAGCACATGTGATAGATACTGGCATGAGTTAAGGATTGGCTAACAAGCGGTAAACAGAATGTAAGAGTAAACAAATCATTCTCATGTTGACAGATGGAATTTACTACAGAGAGGGGTGAATTAGGTTAGAAGAACCAAACCTGAGATTTTGTGATCTGCATTATTGTATTGTGACCCTTTGGAGGAATATCTAAATACACTGGTTTCAAGAACAAGCCAAGGCTGGGAATTCTGAGGTGAAGTGTGCAATTTACCTCTTGATCTTGCAAAGCCAATCCAATGTCTAGAAGGCAGAGTGTGATGTCTGCTTGCCCGGATGAGTGCAGCACCAACAACATTCAGGAAGGTCGACACTGCCCTAGACCAAACAGCCGACTTGATCATCACCCATCCACCAGCTCAATACTAAATATTCATTACCTTCAACATTTGATGCACAGTAGCAGCAGTGTGTACCATGTACAAGGTGCAGTGCTACATCTCGCCAAGAGTCCTTTCTCAGCACCATTTAAACTCACGCATTCTACCACCTGGAGGCACAAGGAGAGCTGACACATGGGAATACCAGCACCCAGACGTTCCCCTCCAGGTTACACACCATCCTGACTTGGAACTATATTGCTGTTCTTTCACTATCACTGGGTCAAAAATGTGGAATTCATTTCCTAATAGCACCATGAGTGTACCTTCGCCACTTGGACTGCAGCGGTTCAAGAAAGCAAGTTCACTGCCATCTTGATAACAGTTAGGGATCAATAACAAATGTTGGTCTTTCCAGTGATGCCCAGTTCCTATGGAAGAATAAAATAAATGTTCTGTGTCATAAAAGGGACAGGTTGCATAGCAATTAGAATTCCAACACATGAATAAGGTAATAAAAGGGATATAGCAGCTCACCGTTAAGCTATGGGAGCAATTGGAGCTCTGTCCAGATTATTCCTTTGTGAAGCTGTCAGAACCATGGCAGTTGGACTTTAACTTGCATTTTCAATAATAAAGCCTTGTGTTAATTTGTGCACTTTTGCTGCTTCCAAACTGAATGAGATTATTGTGAAATTATCCTAATTCTGTCTCTCTGCTTTGCTCCCTTCCAAGAAATGGTGAGAATGAACCCTGTCAAGAGCTTGTTTTAGGAGTGGGCACATCAAGTTGAAATATTTTTAAAAACAACATTGCCATTAAATTTTATGTTATAAAAACACTGCTGTTAAATTTTAAGATGCTGCATTTCTGTTTTGTCCAATCTATAACCATTTCTGATCATGTTTTACTGGAGCTGTTTATCCCACGGTTTTTTTTTTGGTATTAACATACCTGTTGTATATATTGAGCAAGCTGTTTTTATTATGTTAATCATTCAGTTAATGTTTTGTCTATTTGATATGCCTGTTATTAACTTATATTTTCTTATTGGCATAAGTTTCTCCACACTGCCATTCCAGGTTTCAGTTTGTCACATTATAGCTCGAGCGATTATCTATTATCACTACCTATCTATCTCATTATCTATAATGTGCCAAACATGATAGAGAATCAGTAGGTCTTTTACACAGTATCGGATCGCACTATTGACACTTGCGTGCAAGTCCCAAAATAGTCCATAGTAAGGTAACTGCTTAGACCAGTTAATTGACGTGATGGTAACCTATCATTAACAGTTAAATAATTTTGAACTTTTTGTCATCATTTTGGACATGATATTTGTCTGAGATAACTGACCAGTCAACAGCTATTGTCTGAACTTTGACTGTCCAATATAAACTTGTCTGGTGTGCGCGGATTGCATTTTGTGTGTAGTTAATTACATTTTCTAATTACATTTTCCTTTTGTTTGTTTTTCCTCATTATCAGTGTCTTATTGATGCCATGGCATTAGATGTGCACTTCACAGCGTTTAAGGAGTTCAGTCCCTTATCTTACCTACTTAATGCTATCCCAACAAAAGTACAGAAGGGGTTTAGAAATGTTCTCGTCCATCTCACAGCACTTGATGCCAATAAAGACTACATTGCAGTGGGCAGTAATATCGGTATGCTTTATCTCTACTGCAGACGGCTGAACAAGATGACAAAATATAATCTAGAGGTACGTTTGAACGTTAGTCTGTTGCTGTAGTTATGTGAACAAAATTTGCTTAGGACCAGGAGAGAAGTAGGATAAACATTTTTATCTTTCTATTTTACCATTAGTGCAAAGCATTGAGAATAATATCAGTGATAAGTTAGATTCATCCTTCTGAGATGCTGACAGGTTTTAAGAAAGTACTAGAATGTACTCGTGTATTTTCGAAATAAATTAAATCGAATAGCCTTGTGTATGTTTTGTTAAACTTGTGATATAGTTGTTTACTAAAAGAGTTTTCTTTCTCATTAAGGGTAAAACTGATACTATTAGAGTAGTGAAATTGTTGGCTTGTTTTGATGACCTTGTTGCTGTTGGAACATCTTCAGGAAGGGTAGTACTTTTCCAGCTCGTTTCCCCATTGCCTGGAAGAAACAAGCAGGTAAATTAGAGCTTTGGATGCATGATTTAGTTTTCGCGCATTGAGCAGTATTTTGGTCTTTGATGTAATAGCACCGGCAGATTGTCTCCTTTTTCTGCAAAACTAATATAAGGTATTTTGCCAGTTTCTGTAGCTACCTAGGCAGTCTGCTGCTGTTTCTCCTATCAGCATCACTGATACTGTAATAAAAAGAGAATGTGTAAGGAGTATCCAGCTGGTCTACCAGCGTCTGTGGAGATAAAACTTTATTATTTCTGAGTCAAATATAACTCTTCTTTGGAATTTCTTCAGTTGACAATGAGTATTAAGTTTAATTCAAATGTCTAATTATGTGTTGAAATTTTAAAAATGCACTGATAAATTATTCAAAAAACTTTTATTTCATCCATGATCTAGAAATATTACAGTCTTTTTATTTGTCTGTCAGTTGCATAAGAGCCATGTGAAAAGTTGTCTGTATTGTGTCTTGCAGCTTTCAAATTCATTTTCTGCAATTTTGTAAAGCATAAATGTAACAGAATAGTTGTATTTGGCTACTGATAAATTTAATGTTTTCCTTGTTTTTCTTGACTTTTTAATGTAATGCTTGCTTCACAGTTGCGTCGATTTGATGTGTGTATTCACAAAAGTAATATTACAGCACTAGCTTGGAGCACTAATGGAATGAAACTGTTCTCTGGGGATGATCAAGGCAAAGTAGTGTATGCTGCTGTGGATTTGGACCAGGTAATGATTCATAAAATGATATATTGTGAATCGCTAGATTATCTAGTAGGGTTATAGATTTGTAAATGTATGGCAAATGCAACTATTTAAGAATCCACGGTTTTGGAAGCAGACTACTTTTTTCAAGTTTTTTGTTTGAAATGTGTTGGCAGTATTATTTTAATGGACGAAAGTTGTTAGAAGTACTAGTATTTGATTTCATCAGATTGGCAAGAAAGGAGCACTAAAGATGAACAGTCCTTGCCCAACTTTCAGAATTTCCAGTCAGGGTAATTTGGCATTATGGTAAGGGTCTTGAGGGATATAGCTAACCGGTATATCATTCCCCTTGGGGAACATCATTTTTAACCATGTGTATTAATAGATTGAAAGAAGGAATAGAAAATTATGATGACACTAATATAAAAGTTAAGGTAAATTGACTAGATCAGCTGATAACAAAGGGATGGACTACGTGAGGGTGCAAAATTATGGCAGATTACGTTTAATGAGGGGAAATGTGTATTTATCTGCTTTAGAACTGAGATCAGTTCTTTACTTATACAGGTAAGAACTGTAGCTTGACAAAATATTTTGGTACCATTTTTAACATGACTAAAAGCTACAGTACAGATACAAAATATAATTAAGGCCAATGTAATTTTAGCCTGTATCTTCATAGAATCGTAGAATCCCTGCAGTGTGGAAGCAGGCCATTTGGCCCAACAAATCCACACTGCCCCTCCGAAGAGCATCCTGCCCTGACTCATTCCCCTACCCCTGCATTTCCCCATATTCAACCCAAACATCCCTGGACAGTACGGGCAATTTAGCATGGCCAATCCACCTAACCTGCGCACCTTTGGACTGTGGGAGGAAACAGGAGCACCCGGAGGGAACCCACACAGACACAGGGAAAATGTGCAAACTCTACACAGACAGTCGCCCAAGGGTGGAATTGAACCTGGGTCCCTGCCGCTGTGAGGCAGCAGTACTAACCACTGAGCCACTGTGCAGCACCTGGGCGGCACAGTGGCTCAGAGGTTAGCACTGCTGCCTCACAGCACCAGGGGCCTGGGTTTGATTCCACTGTTGGGCAACTGTCTGTGTGGAGTTTGCACACTTTCCCTGTGTCTGTGTGGGTTTCCTCCGGGTGCTCCTGTTTCCTCCCACAGTCCAAAGGTGCGCAGGCTCGGTGGATTGGCCATGCTAAATTGCCCATAGTGTTCAGGGATGTGTAGATTAGGTGGGTTATGGGGGATGGGTCTGATTGGGATCCTTTGAGAGTCACTGTGGACTTGTTGGGCCAAAGGGCCTGTTTTCACACTGTAGGGAGTCTAAGTCATCATCTTCAGAGGACTAGAATACAAAAGTGAGGAAGTGCTGCAGTGTACAGAGCCTTGGTCAGACCCCATCTGGAGTAATGCAAGGCCAGTTTTAAGTTATCCTGTTTGAAGTTGTTCTGCTTTAACCTCATGAATATTATGTGCTGGTTTTGCGCATTTGAGTGTTGAGGTTTCTGTTTTGCATTGTGGATGATGCAGCTTCACATAGCCTGGTTGACATTATAATGGACATTATAATGTCTTTGTTGCTTAGTGCTGACTCCCTCCTGCTTTCTCCGCCTTGGTGCCCTGTCCCATGTCCAGAGAGTGGGGGTAGGGAAGTGGTGAGCACGATGATTGGTCAATGCGAGGGTCGACAAGCGGAAGAAAGAGCATATTTTGTGGGCTTTTTCTAAGCAATTTTCTTATGTTTAGCACTTGTTTGTAAGGAGTAATTCTACTGGTGAAATTTTGAGGAATTTTCTAACACATGGACACAACCAGATCAGATGTAATCTCATAGGATGGTAGAGCAAATGAATTGTTCCTACCTAAAGAGAAATGTGATATTTTATGAGCATCTGCAATAGCCTTTAGTTGAAAATGAGTTGATAAATCTGTGTTTTCTTCGACATTGACAAATAAACAAATAACATAGACTGAAAAAAATTTAAGTGTGTTAATTAAAATGTTCAAATCAGAATGTGATTTGTAACATATTTATTTAACTTCTGTATCCTGTTGCAGGGTGTTTGTAGTCCCAGAGTGATATTGGAAGAGTCATCTCCTATAGTACAGTTAGACTACACTCAAAAAGTACTACTGGTTTCAACTTACTTGCGTTCTGTTCTTATATATACTGAGCAGAACATTATCAAACAGGTTGGAACCCAGCCAAGGAAAAGGTGAGAACCAAATTTTAAAGAAGCAGACATAATACAGTGCATCAAGTAAAATTCCTGTAGCTTCTGAGTAATCAGAAACATAACATTATTGACACAAAACAGAAGTTGCTGGAAAAGCCCAGCAGGTCTGGCGGCATCTATGAAGAGAAATCAGAGTTAACATTTTGGGTCTGGTGACCCTTCCTCAGAATTCTGAGTTCTGCGGGGAAAGGGTACTGAGTTGAATGATCAGCTGTAATCATATTGAATGGCAGAACAAACTCGGAGTTCTGAGGAAGGGTCACCGGACCCAAAGCATTAACTCTGATTTCTCTTCATAGATGCTGCCAAACCTGTTGAGCTTTTCCAGCAACTTCTGGTTTTGTTTCTGATTTACAGCATCTGCAGTTCTTTTGGTTTTCTTACCATTATTGACTTGGGCTTCTTAATGTTTCCATGGTTGTGATCATATTTAAATTGCACATCATAATTGTTATGACATAGAGGCCATTTGCCCGTCAGGTCCCTGCTGGCTTTCTATAGAGCATGCACACAGTGTCTTTCAGCTGCTACTTCCTAAATATAAAAGGTGTGCCATCCTACTAGGTCACAGGCTAAATTATTTTGTGTTGTAGTCAAGAAAGCTCCAGTTGAGGCCAAAATATTGATTGCTTTCAAGAAGCAGTTAGATATAGCTGTTGGAGCTAAAGGGATCTAAGGGAATGGGGAGAAAGTGGAGAAAGGGTACTGAGTTGGATGACCAGCCATAATCAGTTGAATAGCAGAACTAACTCAAAGGGCCGAATGTTCTACTGCTGCTCCGATTTTCTAAGTTTTATCGTAGATTCCTATTGTGTGTTGATTGTGGTTGGGACTGTTGTTAATTTTAGTGTCTCCAAAGTATGGAAGAGAAAAGAAAAGAGTTCCTGATTGTCATCCAGTGAACCTTATTGGAAATTATATGGAGAGAATTGGAGTCAATTGTAATACCTCCCGTACCATAAAGCCTGCAGACATGTTACTATCCATACTTGTATATAAACAACAATGGATAGAGATTGCAGCTGCCTCTTGAATCTGTCTCATTGATATGTTCCTGCCTTCTGGAGAATTGAGCAGATGAAACTAAGGGAAATGCATTTTTTAAGAATATATTTTAGCAGCATAAAAAAAATTAAGGCAATCATCTGCAGTGTATAGGAACCACTGCCTTAAAAAAGACATAACAGCCAGAAGGAAGGATGTCTCCAGGCTCTTAATCGAGCCTGCCTCAAATAATTGATACGGTCTTTTTTTTAATTTGCAAGAAGGGATTTCCATGATATCTCCCAGATAATTTTATTTTTATATGCTACTAGTCTCCGTACAAGAAACATTTGCTAAATAAATCCAAATGAAGTGCAGCTCTGCTGTTACAAATCATTGCGGAACTTGAGTAAATCTTAAGACTTGCTTACATTGTTTAACTTCTTCAAAGAGTTGCATTTCTTCCTCATTTGAGAAGGCAGTCCCTTAATTATGGCAATTGAATTGTCCTGCTCAGTAGCTGTCACCCTTTCTCAGTCTCACTGAGAAAGGTGATCATCCACTTAGAAAAATGGCCTAATTTCCACAACCTCCCTTAACCCCACTTCAAGAGTGTTCCTCTTTTCTTTTTACCCCTTCCTTTAATTGGTCAAATACTTCTCAGACTCTCAGCAATAACAGTAAAAGAAGTAATGGGAGGTTGGGAGGCAATTGCATTGTTGCTGGATTAGTAATCTAGAGAACTAGGTAATGTTCTGGGGACTAGGTTTGAAACCCACCATGGCAGATAGTGGACTCAAAGCAATCTGACATTAAAAGTCTAATGACCATAAAGCCATTATCGATTATCATAAAAACTCAGATGGTTCACTAATGTCCTTTTAATGTCTTGATGCACTGATCTGCTCTGGTCCACATTTGCATCTAGACCCACAACAACATGGTTGCCTTTTAATTGCCCTCTGAAATGGCTGCCAAGCAAACCATTCAGTTGTAATGAACCACTGAGCACAGCCCAGTCCATCACAAAAACCAGTCTTTCTTCCATTGGCTCCATCACAGTTCCTACTGCCTTGGAAAAGCAACCAACGTAATCAAAGACCCCTTCCACCCCAGTTAGACTCTCTTCCACCCTCTTCCATTGGGCAGAATATACAAATGTTTGAAAACATGTACCATCAGATTTTAGAACAGCTTCTTCACCACTGTAATCAGACTTATGAATGGACCTCTCGTATATTAGAATTGATCTTTCCCTGCACTATCCCTGTAGCTATAGCTCTATATTCTGCATTCTGTTCTATTACCCTAAAATACTTATGTAAGGTATGATTTGCCTGGTTAGCACGAAACACAATACTTCTCATTGTGTCTCAGTGCATGCGACAATAATAATAAATCAAATCAAATCAAATGACTGTCTGAGCACATTACTTTCAGGGTTCTTTCCAGACACTTTTAGGTGTAACATTTGGCCTTGCAAGCCCAATTCAAAGTCTAATAGAAAATACTCTGAAAGCATTAGAATTGTGTCACAGATGTTTCAAACACGTTCCTCTCTCCACAGATCTCTCAGATTAGAGATCACAACTTCTGATTTTGTGGTTTTCTCCAAGCGTTCTTCCTCATCTCCATGTGCAAGAAGTTTTCATTCTTTACCTTCGTTTCTGCCTTAGGCCCCTTATTTCTTTCTGTTCCTACAAGCTTATTGCGTTCATCAAATTTTCCAACGTCGGCTCATTGTCAGTCAGAGATCCTGCTCTTGTTAATGCAGAATGTATTTTTACCCCAGCTGTGTATTTCTGTTTAGCAGTGAAGCTCTGTATCAATTCCATGCTCCAATATTTCACTCTAGCTGAGTATATATGACTGAAAATAATACAATTTCTGATATTTAGTTATTGATGTAGAAAACTACATTTCTTATTTCTGAAAGTGTAAATGTAAGTATAATTGAAAGTTAATTCTGCATATAAGAAAAAAATAACATTTCAAATGAGAGGTCTAATTTAATAGAGGATTGTTGTCATGCGAGTATAAAATAAATGAACTGAAATATCTTTAATCTCTCACGTTTTCAGTGCTGGCAGATTTGGAGCCTGTTTCCTACCAGGACTCTGTAAACAAACTAATGTGAATTTATATGCTTCAAGACCTGGACTTCGACTGTGGAAATCAGATGTCCAAGGGGTTGTTCAGTCAACACTCCTTTTAAAAAGTGTATTTACTTGTGGTGTGAAGCCATTTGAACTGTTACCTCGAGCGAGTTTGTCAGCTGCAAGTAAAGTTGTTATTAAACCAACTGAGAGAAACTTTGGGCTGTTGAAGTGCTTTCTGCACGAAGGATGGGTGCTGAGCTGGAATAAGACCAGTATTTATGTCTTGGATGCAGTTAATCAGGTATGCACTTGGCAAAACAGGTATAATTTAAACAGCCAGATTTCTGTACCATTGTAAAATGAATATTTGCTTGCATGTATTGATCATCATTTATCTTGATTTTAGGCGGAAGTAGTATTCTATAGCAACATGATCCTTGTTGGGTACTACTTGAGAAAAATAAGATTGGAAGTTGAGAGATTTTAAGCAATCAATAGCACAATGTAATACAGTTTTTCTTGATTATTTGAAGTACAGCTAGTAAACAGTTTAACGTTAATGCTGCATAAAGGAGAATAAAGTGCAAAGAGTTTTCAGTATGAAGTCTTCTCTTTTTGCCCACACCCTGCTCTTGTTCATAATTTAAAAGAAAAATTCAGTCTTCCTGTTTTGTTTCCGTTAATTGAGCTTCTGTTTATAATAAGTTGCAGCCTGGCACGTTGTTGAGCCTTAGTTCAAACATGGACAAAAGAGCTGAATTTCAGAGGTGAGGCAAGATTGACTGCCCTTGTCATCAAGATTGCATTTGACTGAGTGTGACATCAAAGAGTCCCAGCAAAACTGAAGTCAGTGGGAGTTGGGCGAAAACTGTTTGCTTGTGGCACAAAGATGGTTGTGATTGTTGGAGGTCAGTCATCTCAGCTCCAAGACATCTCTGTAGAAGTTCCTCAGGGTAGTGTCCAGGGCCTAACCATCTACAACTACTTCATCAATGACCTTCCCTCCATCATAATGTTAGAGAAGTGGATGTTGATTGATGACTAAACAACCTTCAGCACCTATTGGGGCAACTCAGCATGGAAGCATTCCATGTCCAAATGCAGCAGGTCCTGGACAATATCCAGGCTTTGGCTGAGAAGTGGCAAGTAACATTTGCACCACACAAATGTCAGGCCATGACCATCTCCAACAAGAGACAATCTAGCTATCACTCCTTGACATTCAGTGATATTCCCATCACTGAATTCCCTCACTGTTAACATCCTGAGGATTACCATTGGCCAGAAGCTAAACTGGTATAGCTATATGAATACTGTGGCTACATGAGCAGGTCAGAGGCAAGTAATTCACTTCCTGACTCCCCAAAGCCTGTCCACCATCTCCATGTCAGGAGTGTGATAGAATGCTCCCTATTCGTATGGGTGAGTACAGCTTGAAATAATCCAGGACAAAGCAGCCTGCTCGATTGACACCATGTCCTCAAAAGGTCACACCCTCCACCCCCAATGCTCATTAGCAACATGAGTGTCATCTGCAAGATGCACTTCAGAAATTCAAGAAAGATCCATATATAGCATCATCCAAACCTATTACTGTTTACCATCCAGAAGCACAAGGGCAATAGATACATAGGAACACCACTATTGACAAGTTTCCCTCCAAGCCACTCACTATCCTGATTTGGAAATATATATATCACAGTTCCTTCATTGTTGCTGGAAATCCTGAAATTCCCTCTCTTGACATTTGTGGGTCTACCCACAGCAAATAGACTGCAGCAGTTCAAGAAAGCAGCTCACCACTACTTTCTCAAGGGCAACTAGGGATGGGCAATAAATCCTGGCCCAGCCAGCAATATCCACAGCCCACGAGTGAAAAAAAGAGAGTAATGTATTAACAACCGACACCTGATTATTAAATTTAAAATTCTGGGCATTGAAAGAAAAGCATATGATTTGTAATAACTTTTTTTCAATGCAATTTCCCATGACCATATTTCATATTGGAGAATTATGTATGTGGATTTGTCACACTGATTGCATGCTCCTGCCAATGTAAACGCTGTATGAGCATATAATTGGCAAGTTTACAGAGGTAGTCCCCTTTAAAAAATATTGTCGTTAATTTATAATGACATAAAAATAAAAGCAAAATATGTGATTTTAGAATGGGTACTCAACTATATCTGTACTGCCTAATTCAATTTCCCACAGCTCTAAGTCCATTACACCTGAAGAATGCACTTGATCTTAACTTTCAGGTGTAGAGGTGGTGAGGTTAACTGATTAGTTAATATATTTAGCATCTTGCATATGTAACATTTGTTCTGCGTTTGTTTTGTGAATACTTCTACTGGCATAATACTAAGTAAACATTTTGTTATAGGTCTTCCATTTTTGTTTATTGATGGAGGTATCCTGCCACAGGGTGGCACTATCAACCACAATCGGAACTTTTGGTGCCTTTTATGTAGAAAAAAGTGCTCAAGACTTTCACAGCAGTATTTAAAAATAAAATATGGCAATGAGCTCCATAAGGAGATGGTAGGGTGAGTTACCACAGCTTGGAAAGGAGATGAGTTTTAAGGTATGTCTTAGAGGAGGAAAGAAGTAGAGAGATAATGATTTAAGGATGGATTGGGGCAAAGACATCTGAAGGAAAGTTGAAAACTGGGGAGCTCAAGAAGCCAGCATTAGAGAAGTGCTCATATCTTGGAGAGTTGTGGGATTAGAGGATATTACAGAGATAGGGAGGAGGGGTTCATGAAAGATTTTGAAAGCTGGGATGAATTTTTGTTTTCTAAATGAGGTATTGCCTGACTGGGAACCAGGGCAGGTCACAAAGCACAGTTTGATGGACGAGCAGGGCTTAGTGCAAAGAAGCAAACAGCACTTTGATTTCTGATGCTTTTAACTTTAGGTACTCAAAAACCCTTCACAGCTATTTAATTACTTTTAAAGTATGTTATGACGTTGGCAGATATGTCAATCATTGTGTGTGCACTGATAACAGGACAAGCTCATTCATTTTTGGTTTTGTTTGAGGAACACTGGGGGAACTTGTTGCTCCTCTGATATTATCAGATCTTGTTAGGTACCTTATTTTGTAATGCGTTATCTGTCTACCATGGCAAACTGTTTAAAACTGTCAGTAGGAAACAAAGCTAGTATTCTACATTAATGTGAAATTAGAAAATAAGCTAGCCAGCATGATTCCCAGCATGTGTCTTGTTACTCGCTCTAAAAATGGGCTGCCATTTGATGCCTACAGTGGACTCCAAGAACCACTCTAGGAAAGGGGAGTAGGCTAGAGTTCCTTTACTGACTTCCAAGACCTGCTAGGGTTTGGCTATGAAGCCATGCTCCCAAACCAAATATTGTACAAACGATTATACCAAAGCTGTAGTAAGATTAGAGACTGGTTATGCAAGTATCTAAAGGTTGCTGATGGCACTATGTTATGCCTATTGTCCTTGAGGGTAATTAGAGTTGAACAGCAAATACTGCCTTGTGAACTATGCTCACATTCCATGACTGAATGAATAAAAGAGTGAATGTGTTCAGGTAAAAGGGAAGGGGAAAATTGGAAAAGAGAAAAGTGGGGAAAAAGTTCATACCAAATTAAAATTGTAGTTGTAAATGCTATCTGATTTATGTTAAAAATATAAGTTCAAAAAGCTATAAAGGAAATAAACCTAGGAGATAAGACATCCGAAGTTTCCCATTTAACAAAGCAGATTAGTGAAAGGAAAGGAACTAATATAAATCCAGTTATGACTTAAATGAACATTTAAACTTGAGTATAAAACTACAACAAATCACAGAGAAAGAATGCTCAATTGATGAATTTTCTTTCTGTCGAAGGGGAGAACATAAGCATACATGTCTTGGAGAGCTAATCTTGATCACAGGAAGCAATAGAATTTGGGGCTTAGGTGACAACTTCAGAACATCTTACAAATTTTAAATCATATAAGCAGGATACTGAATGAAACAAAGATGTAAATGACAGTGAAGAATAAATTCTTGAAACCCATTTGGACGTCCTATGATAAAAACAACTGCAGGTGCTTCAGGTAGGTCTGACTTTAAGTAGGATCAGAAATACATTACCTGAAGGAGTAAATGCGCAATGCATTTGGAGCACTGCATTGTCATCCTCAGAACCAGATCTTTATATTCACTTCCTATTGATGGAGTGAAAGTTATGAAAGTGTCCTTTTCTATAAAACCTTTCAGGGCCCTATATAGGTTCAGGTGTTCTAACAGCAGAATGCAATAATACTTAGTTTAGTACTAAGTTGTCAATGTTCAGAGGAAATACAATCATTTTCCATATTCTGTCATTATGGTGCATGCTTGGAATATTCATGTTCATAATGAAGTGGATAAAAAACTGATTAATTTAAACTAGCAATTGCAGTCGAAACTTGCTTCACTGTGCTTGTCTTTCAAGTGAGTTTAGACCTGAACCATCATGAAACCAAATTAACTGGCCAGCTGTTTGGGGGTATGTTTTTGAATTATATGGATGTTGACCATATTCATCTGAAAAATTCTAAAAGTGGAAAAACTTACAGGGACCTGTACTGAAATAAGAACAGAAAATGCTGGAAACACTCTGTTTCTCTCCATAGATGCTACCTGAGTTCATGTTTCAGATCTATAATCCTTCATAAAAACTGGGAAAAATTGAAAATGTAATAGAGGGATGAGTTGGCAAAAGCACAAAAAGGAAGGTCGGTGATACAGTGGGAAACAGGTGAGATTAAATGACAATTGTGCAAGGCCAAAGCGAGTGATAATGGGACAAGTGAAAAAAAGTATAAATTGTCTAGTGGAAGTATAAATGGTAGAATGATGAACAGCTGATGCCCAAGAACGAAGAGTAAAACTACAAGCTGCAAAAAGAAAAGGCAGAAAAATGGGCACAGGAGTCATTATCTGAAATTAGTGAACTCAGTGTTGAATCCAGAAGGCAGTAATTTGCCTAAATGAGAAATGAAGTGCTATTGCAAAAATTCATTAGAACACTGTCGGAACTGAGGTCTTGCAGATTGAATGGAGGGGTGCTGCAAAACAGTCACTGGATCTGCAGCATAGTGGCTTAGTGGTCAGCACTGCTGTCTGACAGCACCAGGGACTCGGGTTCAATTTCACCCTGAGGCGACTGTGTAGAGTTTGCACATTCTCCCTGTCTGAGTGGGTTTCCTTTGGGTGCTCTGGTTTCCTCCCACAGTCCATAGATGTGCAGCTTAGGTGGATTGGCCATGTCAAATTGCCCATAGTATCCAGGGACAT